CTTATATCTTATTTGTACTTACAATCTTATTTTTATCTCTGTAAAAGGTTGCACTGCAAGAAAATAATTTCCAGCAAGGGATTAATAAAGTAATTGTGATTCTGATTCAGAAAGTCCTTTGGCAGAAATCAAATGAGCCATTTTAATCTAGATTAATGTAGATTAATTCCAAGATTACAGTGAGATTAATCCAGATTAAAAAATGTATCAATGCCCACCACTAATATCTAAATGATACCCGCTGCTCTGGAAGCTTTTTGTGATATTTACACAGTTTTTTTCTTTTTATTATGTTCTTTTTGTTATGTTTTCTGATTTCTTTCCCTCTCGTCTCATAAAGGTGTGGAATATTGCAACTGCTTTTGGCATTTAATTAATCATATTTAGTTACTTTAACACAATTGTTTCATGTTAGCAGGGTAGGATGTAAAACTTACGTAAAAAATTGTGTTAAAGTAACTAAATATGATTAAGTATATGCCAAAAGAGGTTGCATTATTTCTTTCAGGAGTTACTGTATATGTCCTGTGTCGTCCATTTTTGCTGTTTTGTTTCATTTTCTCTCTTTTCATGCAGTTGTTTATGCCTTTCTTTTTCACTCTCCCCTTAGTTCTTATCCCCTCTATCTTACTCACCTCTCTTTCTGTCTCTGTATCCGTTATTTTACGATTTTACTCCCTAAATAATTTCCAATAATGTTTCATATATAAGTACCAAGCGGACCCTTATGGCAACAGTCATAGTGCTCTGCTTGTTAAAGCAAATCTGTTGAGATATCATCTAACTCTGGGACATCGATTTCTAGAGGTATATTGGCAAAACAGGACACAAGGAAAAAAAACATAAAACTGTATCCATTGATCTATACATTGTGGCCTAAATGTTTGGTTATAGCAAGTGAAATGTAATCCAAAAAATTACGATTAATTCCCTAAATCTATTCCTCATTAAAGGGATCATGTTTCTTAGGTTTGGATATCTTTTATTTTGTAGGAACTTGTTAATAACAAGCTGTATTTGGTATCAAATCAGGTTTATCAAATATTGTAATTTCATTGATAGCAGTTTGCAGCAGTTTACCATTATTCTTGCTCTTAATTTCTATGCCTTAAACTTATGTTCTCTTCATTTCATACAGTGAATGCATGTTTAAGCTTGTCAGACTCTTTTATAGCTAGTTGTTTCTTCCTCTGAGCTTTGCATTTCCCTTAAATAAAAGTCTCTTTTCAAAAAACTTTGCACAAGGAATGTTGTTTTTTTACAGAGGCAGCACTTTCTAAATGCTGTTCTTAACAGCTGAATGTCTACCAACCGTGCAACAAAGGCGTTTGCATATCTAAGATTTTTCTGAGTTCAGTTTATAGTAATGTTTCCTTCCTCTTCCAGCCTGAAAGGAGCCTTATGGATGGAAACTTTGTAAGACAACATGGTCGGAGATTTGTTCAGTAACTGTGCTAACTGTGATTAAGAAACATAAAGTCTTCTGAAAAAAAAAGACATGGTGTTGCTTCGTGTAGCTAAACAGATGGCAATGAAAACAGTTAATAAAACAGGCATTAAAAGCGTATATTTTGTTAGAACAAGGGAATAAGTAAGAATCACCACCAGCTCTTTGACCCATCAGGCTCTAAATCTGGGTCTATTGATGCTGGCTGAACTTTCAGAGGCTCATAAAGACAGTAACTAAGTCAGCCTTCTATCACCTATAAAACATCTCCAGGATTAAATGAATTGTGCCTCATCAGGACCTTGAAAAATTAATCAATGTGCTCATATTTAGTAGAACAGATTACTGCAACAGCTGCTACGGATCTAAAATGCAGCTACCAGCTTCCTTACTAAAACTAAGAGAGTAGAGAACATCAGCCCAGTTCTAAAGTACTTCCACTGGCTCCCTGTATCTCAGAGAATAAACTTTGAAATAAGTATGTGGTCGAGAAAACACTGAATGACTTAGCTGCAAAATACATTACAGACTTGTTGTCAGAACATAAACCATCCAGACCTCTCATGTCTTCTGGATCAAATCTACTCTATATACTCAGAACCAGAACCAAACATAAAGAAGCAGCTTTTAGTTCTTATGTTCCACTAATCTGGGACACACACACAGAAAACTATTAAAGTGCTGAAACTTTAAGTTGCTTTAAATTGTGATTAAAAACTGATTATAGAACTAATTTATTAGGGGTGGCAGGGTGGGGCCACTGTTTTTTCATGGAGCCACCAAACAAGAATAAAACAAAAAATAGGTTGATACTTTATTATTTAAAATATTAATTCATAAAAAGAGCCCTTTGCTACTCTGGAGTCCTCAAATAAAGCAGAAAATCTGAAAATGTAAGCTAAAAATGCAAGAAATTGATTTTACATTATCTTCAAAATAAATAAAATGTTTATAATCATTTGCAATTTATATACAAGTGCATATCATCATTATTTATTATGCATGTATCTAGTGTTATTTCTTAAATACAGGGGCCATAACAGGGGACAGGAAGAGTTCTATGCGACACTGGCCCCTGTTAGCCCCCGTTGGCCCCTGTCTAGAACCTCCCATGCCTTTGACCATGCCAGCTTATCAATTCTTTTATCATTATTTTTTATGAATCATAATCTTTTTTTCAATTATTCATTATTTTTCTCTTTAACTATTCATGACGATTAACTATTTAATTGCCTTTGTGTCACTGCAATGTGCTTTTCTTTTTTCATGTACAGTACATTACCTTCAATTGTCTTGCAACCGAATGTGCTGTACACTTTAAATATACTTGCCCTGCATGTATATATAAATAGGTATATAATATAATATTTATACATCCTTATACTATAATATTTATATATATACTATATACTGAAATATAATATATATATGTATATATACACTGCAGTCCAACTGTTCCTTCCCCGCTCTTTTTCCCCTCTAAAAGAATAATCTGACCTAAGCAAATGTTTCCATGAAACTCCTTAAGTTTTACAGATATTTTACACACTGCAATTGGTCAGATCCAAGATGATAACTACCTACCTATACCCAGAAGCACCTGGATGATGGTGGACTTTCAGAAAAAAAAACCTCCCGAACCCCCTTACCTCACCAAATTTCTGTTTGTGAATATAATCTATGGCCAAGATATTGATGGTGAACAAAAAAAAATAAAATTGATTGATTCGAAAACAACCGATGTTGGCTAGATAAACCAATATATTGGTCAGAAACTGACCAAGCCATTGGTTTTGGATCAACCAATTTAATTAGCCAACCAAACAACCAATAAAATGGCAATTGATGGTTTACTAGTCTGAGTGTTTTGGCTGTAGTCAAGTGTAGTTTGTAATAGTGATGGGAGGTAAGAGAACAGTTACATGAATTAGACATGCACAACATGCAAATCTTGGGTTTAAACTTGGTTTTATCATTAGCATTAAAGGTATAGTGCAGGGGCTTGTGCACGCTCTCGCACATGTTTAATAGGCATTCCCCCTCTAGTGCAGGTGCATGCGCATTTTTTTGGATCGGGCGGGTCTTTTCAAAAATTAGCAAAAATCCTCCACTACACCTTTAACTATTAGTGAAGTCCAAGAAGCATTAGTAGAAAAGTGGCGTTTGATGCAGAAGTTTGCCCAGCATTCAAAGGGTTGGTGCTTTAACCTCTGCTTTTAATGCCATTATACCAGTTAACAAATATATTTTGTCAAAGTGGTAAATTTGTATTGGTTTTACCTTTTACCAATACAGATTGCTTAAAAACATTACCAAATTAGATAGGCTGTTTTAACCAAAAGATTGGTTGGACCAGATAGGTGAAATAAAATTATTTGATGATGTTTTTTCAGGGTGGTTGAATCTAACTTCCTCATTGCTGAATTCAGTTTGGATTTAGAGAGATTTAGGAGTTCTGTGATTTCCCTCTGGGATTATTAAAGTATGTCTGATTCTGATTCTGAAACAAGGCTGGAATAGAGCCAGTACGCCTCTGCATGAAAATGAGACACTGGAGGTTGTTTGGAATTTTTTCTTCAGGATCCCTTCTTAGATTCTACCTTTGAAGGTGTTCCAGGCCCATCCCACTGGGTGGAGATTCCAGGTAAGACCCACAATACATTGGTGAGACTTTTCCATTCTTGCATGGGAGCACTTAAGGATAAACCAGAATGAGCTTATGATTGTTAGCGGGGGTCAGATGTCACTGTGTCTCTCCTTGTAACTCTGTAACAAGAAAAAAATTACTGCTCAAGCTCAAATTTCCTCGCTTTTAGTATGTTTTGATACATAAGGTCCAACTAAAATCATTATAATTACCTTCATTATAATAAATATCGGTAGGAGAAGCAGTGGAAGGGAAAGAAGTAGGTTTTATTCAGTAATTTTACGATAAACAGCCTCCTGCCTTCATTATAAATCAATCATTTTACATGCCATGACTGAGAAGGGAAACGCACACAATAATATGCCTAACTTCTTATTCATCGGTCAAAAATAAATAAATTATGTATCTTTTAAATTAGTCATTTGGAAATTTTATATACTTAATAGCAATTTTCATAAAGTTTTACCACCAAAACATTTTAATTGACACCCTTTTTTGTATTTTATTTATAATTTTTCTATGGGTTTTACACCAATTTTTACATTACAAATCATATATCTTAACTTTTAGTATTTCTAAATAATTATCTAAAAATCAAGATGTGTCCACGAAAGGTAATTGAGAATTTAAATGAAAAAATTTACACATTTGACACATACAAAAAAGTTACTTTTTTTTTTCTTTTTTTCTTACAGTGGGTTGTGTCAACTAAATTATACCGCGTGGCAAAAAGAAAAAAAAGGCTGGGTCGAGGAGGGGCCACCAGGTCAGATTTCCACTAAAGTGCGACCCCTGATCCGCCTACGACCATCCATATTTGCTGAGGCTGCGCGGAACCATCGATGTGAAAGCTATTATTCAGCTCGAGACACTTAGCAGCGACCCATCCATGTTAGCTACAGATCTGCGCTTCAGCCGCAGGAAGTCCGAGCCCTCCCTACTCCAAGCATCCTTCCCAACAGTCAGAAGGGGAGAAAAAAAGAAGCCAAACAGGCAAAGTTTTCCTCCGACTCGCCAAGCAGGAGTCGATATGGATAAAAACACGATAGATTCCCGTGAATGAAGCAAACAACCGGTAGTAACTTTTTTTTTCTTTTTTCTAAAAGAATGATAACATAGTCTTCACTTTTCTTGGTGTCTTTGTGTGAGCGGACGCGAAAACGTTAACTGCGGAAAAGTTTGGGTCAGACTATGGCGCGAGAGAGGAGCGAAGACACCGGGATGGACAAAGCTTCAAAAGCCAAAAGGCAACGAAAGAAAAAACCCAAGGAGCACAAAACCAGAACAGTTCACGCAAACATCCTTTATGACAGAGCCAAAGGAGAGGAAAATCCCAACAGACACTACGCTAACAACAAAATTAAGACCACAAAGTACACCGTGCTGTCATTCCTGCCCAAGAATCTTTTCGAGCAGTTTCACCGCTTTGCTAATGTCTACTTCGTTTTTATCGCTTTGCTTAATTTCGTCCCGGTTGTTAACGCCTTTCAGCCTGAGCTGGCTCTGGCTCCGGTGGTTTTCATCCTGTCTGTCACAGCCATTAAGGATTTATGGGAGGACTACAGGAGGCACCGCTCGGATAAAGAAATCAATCACATGGACTGTCTGGTCTACAGCAGGTAAGCTCGGCCTCCTGAACCACTACTTCACTTCTCCTTAAAAAAAAAAAAACTTTAATCGTACAAAGATAGAAATAAAAAATAGACTTTCAAAACATCCCAAAGCCTTTATGTTTTGAATTCCACTATAATCCTGCTTAAAGTAAACAGCCCCACAGAATGATTCCACCACCACTCTGTTTCACCATGAGGGTTTGTTGCCAGATGCTGCAAGTTAAGGTGGATGGGTATATCTTTCTTCCAACTTTTAGATAATTGATTAAAGCAAATTCTGTGAGATTTTCAAAGGTTCATCCTTAAAGTTGTAGGGAAGTCATATTTAAATGTCAAATCATTCTGGCTTAAACATGTACATAAATGTACCCTTTATCAGACCATATTGTCCCAAAAGTTAGAAAATATCTTTTTTTTTTAAAATCCTGTCTTAAAATATGTGGGGTTTTTTCTCATTATCTTATGCAGGCCAGTTAGTTATACGTCAGCTTGTACACCTAAATTCAGCCAATCATATATCAACGGCCATCTGTCAATCAAATTTTTTCGGTTATAGCATCTTGATTCATATGTCGCAGCTAATATACGCAACAGTTGAAAGAAGAATCATTTACTTTATTATTGAGTTCCGTCCCAGTGTTCACGGGGATTGATGTCTGTGTCTTCAGCAGGCGTAGAACTAACAGAACTGGCAGCGTTGTGAGGCGAGAGCTCAAACATGTACGGCTGTAAGCCTTCTACACCAAACCAAGCTTCTGGCGCCCTGGCGTCCTCTTCCACAACATCTTTGTTCCCCAATTTCCTCCTCTAGATAAAAAATGTACGGTATGATGGAGGAGACTCATCCACGACCTCCGATACTAAACTCTCCTCCTCTTGCATGTTTCCTCTGTCCATAGCGTTCCTTCACAGTGTCGTTTCTAAGTCACCAATTTAGTGCTACTTGGTCCCAATGGAATTTCCCATTGGAAACCTACTAGCACTAAGTTGCTAACTGGTTAGCAAGATGCTTCTGATAAACCGGCCACAATCAAACTTGCTGGTGAACCTTCCACCACAACAATCCTGACCCCCTGATAAGCGACCAATCACATTCACTTTATTCACTCGTGTAAAGTCGTGCACCACTCAGGAGAATTCAGAATTGCAACGCTTGGAACAGCCGCTTCCCTACGACTTTAATTGGAGGAGTTATGGGCCTCTTGGATCATTCTGAGCAAGTTTAAATGGATGGGTATATCTTTCTTCCAACTTTTAGATCAGGGGACTTCAACGTTCTCCAGGCCAAGGACCCCCAAACTGATGGTGAGATGGAGCGGGGACCCCCTAATTATATATATTGTATGAAATTGTGTTATATCAAACTGGTCCTATAGTCACTCTATTACATATGGAGTAATGTAACGAAAGTAATCTCTCCCTGGGATTATTAAAGTATTTCTGATTCCTGGTTGATGGGACAGGTGTTGTGAATGAAACGGTGCCCGGCTTGAAAGAGCTCCTGTGTGTCGCTGAATGTGTGCATTGATGACTGAAAGACATCTTCTGCCTCCATTTATCTGTTTACTACAGTCTGTTGAATTCATGTCAATGTGGATTTAAAGACATTTCAATTAGTGGAAAAAAAATGCAGGGGGGAATATAAAAAAAGTCTGATTAACCAAAACTTTCACGACCCCCTTGCAGTACCTCTGTTGACCCCCTAGGGGTCGCGGACCCCCTGTTGAAGACCTCCATTTTAGATAATTGATTAAACCAAATTCTGTGAGATGATCAAAGGTTCATCCTTAAGTTGTATGGTGGGATCGTTTTTTTTTTTGAAGACTTTCTGAGGTACTTTTTAATAATAATTGAAGTTTATAGATCTCACACTGGGGGAACTTACCTCTGCATTTAACCCATCCTTGTCGGGAGCAGTGGGCTGCCACTGTGCGGCCCCCCCGGGAGCAGTGTGGGGTTAAGGGTCTTGCTCAGGAACCCAGAGTGGCAGCCTGTGGGGATCTAACCGGGTACTGGCAACCTTCTCAGAGCACAAGCTCACTGCTCTAACAACTAGGCCAACACTTCCACCAGCATTAATGCACCTTTAAATTTTTTTTGGTGTTTGGGGTTTTAATGTGACATTAAAAAAAATTAAAATCCTTTTTGTTGCAGTGTGTCATGCAGGTCGGCCTTCATGCATGTCACTTTTTAGAAGCACTTAACCCCAGAAACGATAGATTCCTGCCTAAATCTATCAGTCAGAGAATTATAGAATAGTAGAATAGGATATAGAATAATTCTTGCTGTAACTACTGCATTTGTTTTGGTTCTGAATCTATTAATAATGAATGATTTTCCACCCTGGTGACCTGTTGCTGACCAGTTTCCTGAGTATGTGTGCCCTGGCTGTACTTAACTAATGAAAAGCAGCACTGTCGTCCTTTCCGTACAGACCATGATTCACAGGCATCAAGAGCCTCAGTGTTTTAGTGGCTCCAAAGTGTAGAGACTCAAAGTTTTTGTCAGCGTTGGACATTTAATTTTCTTTTTTTTTTTTTTTTTTATGTCAGCAATATTATTTCAAAAGTCCTGACCTTTTCCATCCCTGGATTTGTTGACTAATTTTGTGTGAATTTCAAGTGAATTTCAGTGTTGTTCCCTGATTAATTCCAATGAGTCACATTTTTAAGGAAAACCATATAATGAAAAAATTCAACCCCCCTTTTTGCTCCTAAATGATTAAATAGACAGCAACACAAATCTCTGTTTTTAATCCATTATTTAGGTTATTCAAACATCAGATTGATTAAAAGTTTGTCATTTTCCTCTGTTTAGAAACTTCTAATAATTAATATTAGCTTCTTTAATAAACTACCTCTTAGTGTCTCCATGTCTTTATACATTAACAGCTGTAACTTGAGTACAATGATGTAACTTTTAAACTTGAAGAGCCTCATTAGACCAATGCTTGTGATGCTAATTGGGCTCCAGATTTAGTGGTGTACATGAAAAACACGAATAAAAAGGTTCCCGCTCAGGACTTAGTATGTATAATAGAAGAAAAAATATAAAATAAATAATAGCATTCAGCTATAGCATTTTTTTTAAGGGGTTAAATTATTTATATTAAATTAACGGGTTAATGTTTTGATTTGTATTGTTTTATAAATAGGATGAGAAATGTGCCTTCTTAAGCTCTATCCTGGCACCAATAAGGATGTTTTTTTACTGTCTTATGTGCATTTCAAGTTTTCTCAGTGATGACGGGTCCCACCTGCTGTTCCACTTATTGTTTTTAAGCAGCAAATCAATGGTTAACTTCCCACCAGTCAGACTGTGATAAAATAATAATCTGGTTTTTAATTGATAAACTCTTACCTGTGATGAGATGTTCCTTTAATGAAAAGCCTGAATTATTGTTCCCTGTCCTTGATAAGATTCAATACCGAGAAACATCCGTGGATTTCGTTAACATCAGATAAAGAGTTTTTTTCTTGAAATTGTCTCCTTTTCTGATGAGCCTCTCTCCCACTGTTACACCCACTAGCAAATTCCAGCGAGCCTGTGATGATGCAGAATCGCTATTTAAGGGCTGAACGGTCCAATGGCCCTATCCACTACGTGATTTGGAATGGCACTTAATGTGGAGGACCCTCCACGGAAATTCCCAACCAGAGGGTTAGTGCTAAGGGTTAGTGTTTAGGAGCTGGTTTGGGATTCAGGCCCTAAAAGTTTGAGTTTACCCTCTTGGTGGGATAGAGATGGGAGTGATGAAGCAAGGAGGGCAAATGTTAGGACACTACGTGATTGATGCTAATACATTAGCACAAACAAAATAGTTTCTTTTAGACTTTTCTGGTTATAAAAAAGAGCTCATACAATGTATCACTTTTGGTAAAACTTGCTTCATCTGCAGCTGAAAAATGTGTTTAAAATCCCACACCAAGCATCTGCACTGTTTCTGCAGAGAGGAAAAACGCTACGTGGAGAGGTACTGGAAAGAAGTGCGCGTCGGGGACTTCGTCAAGCTGCGATGTAACGAGATTCTCCCCGCTGACGTCCTGCTGCTGAGCTCCAGCGACCCCGATCGCCTGTGCCACATCGAGACCGCCACGCTGGACGGAGAGACCAACCTGAAGCAGAGGCAGGTCATCCGCAGCTTTTTCGATCTGGTAAGACAGAAGGAAAAAAAATGTTTTAGTTTTCAACAGCCTCATACAGCATTGTAATTTTGGTCGGTTTTCACAATTTAAAAAGTAAATTTTTTTAAGAAAGCTACCAAAGCATTTATTTCTGTGAAATCCCTTCAGTTGATAGTATTATTTGATGATCTTTTTTTTGGTTAGCTCCTGTTTTCCAGTTGAGTCTCACTTGTGGGGAGTTTTAGATTATTTCTGTAACAAAAGTTACCATGAAAAAGCCTCAATATCTCAGTAAAATAGATGCAAACTGCTTAATGTCGCCATGAGAATTTATACTTGATGGTTGCGATAGAGTCATTTGAACTATTCTGCATGGGGAAAACTCGAGATGCATCGAGTATATTTGATATATTGTCCACCCCTAACTAGGGCTGGGTATTGTTCAAAAATGTTCGGTTCCGGTACCAATACCGATACCTTCACTTCGATACCGGTTCCTGA